TGGAACTCCTCAGAAGTGCGCACACACGATCGTGCCCCCCACGAGATCCGAGTCCAGGACCTATCAGTCTCGCGCGTGGATGCTTAACCTCTAGACCAGTGAGCTGGCCGGCATCCAATGGTGTTAATGTCTAACTTCAACCAATCCACAAAATCGCGCAACCGTACACCATTGTCTTCAGTGAGCTGATATCTCACAACAGACCTGGTTGAACTCCACTGGTAACAACTTCTCACTAGAACTCCAGGAGTATCTCCTGAAGTCAGTCACTAGTCAGCAGGTCGTTGTCATTGTCAGAATGGGTTTTGTGTAGAATTTTAGAACACCGTTGGATGCCGGCCAGTTCAGTGGTCTAGTTGGCTAAGCGCCTGGCGTGAGACTGATAACTCCTGGGTTCGAATCTCGTAGGGGGCGGGATCGTGGATGCGCACTGCTGAGGAGCCCCATACTAGAACGAAAAGGCCGTCCAGTGCTTCCAGGTTTTCCATGGTGGTCTAGCTTCAATCGACTCATGATTTCAACCAGTGGAATTTCTAAAAATCTCCACAAAACCCATTCTGATAACAACTTAGGAAGAAGTTCTTAAACTCGTCGCCCCCTTATTTAATAGTTTAAATGAATAAAATATCACTGTGAATCACTTGATACCTTTTTCTTTTCTTCATATGCTAAAACTAGACACTATTTGTACAAAAAAAGACTGAAATTTATTACGCCGAGAAATAGAGATCAACATGAATAGAATGAACAACAGTTGAATAGAACTAGAAATGAAGATCCATGACCGAGTGGTTTGGATAATTCTGATCGACGGACTATGCTCCAGTGGGAGTAACAGACGTAAGTAAGTAAGTAATACACCAACTCGAGTTATTTTTAGATGAGAATTTACCGTAAAAAAAAGACAAGTAACTTTTCTTCCTATTATTATTTAAATAAAGAAAAAACAGTCCTATACAAGAAGATAGAAAAATTCAATATGTGTTCATTATTTTTTTGGTAATACTTAAACACTCTAGGAAATAGTGAATGTATGACAAATAGCTATAGTAGTATTGTAGTGAACAAGAACACGAGTGGAGATAATCGAATGTCTTAGAACACGAAATTACAGAGTATCTCACTAAAATCTGAGCACCATATAGTAAATCGTTAATTTGCAAAATGCTAATATATCATCTCACATTTGACCGTTCGTTTGCACATTGTGTCAGATTTCATTGTTCATGCATTTTGATACTACTTGCGTACCGTTTCCATTTTTTCCTTATCGATTTTCTACTGAAATATATTCTATACCTGACCACAATTATATACTACTTATATGGATATAAGTAACCCACATCACAGTGTTACCGTTGTCAATGATATATTAACATGTTAATTAATGGACTTAATACTCTGTGTTAAACATTGTTTTCTCTTATTTTATAAAAGGTATGATGTTTCAAAATGACATTTATTATATCAAAGTTTAGTAAATAATGAATCATTTAAAGTGAAAACATGGGAAAAAGGTCTATATTTAAATGTGCAATACTCATGGTGATTCAATTCTTATATCTGAAACAGTAATCTTTATATTTATTTAAAGTCATGTAAATATTTCAACATATACAAAGAGGATTCAATACGAACATCAAGACAGTCAGTTCTACTGTACGGAGCTGAAACTTGGGGAACTACAACAATCATCATCAAGAAGGTTCAAGTATTTATAAATAGTTGTCTACGCAAGATACTCAACATTCATTGGCCAGATATCATCAGTAACAGCCTTCTATGGGAGAGAACAAACCAACTTTCAGCTGAAGAGGAAATTAGGAAAAGATGATGGAAATGGATAGGACATACATTACTCAAATCATCAATCTGTATCACGAGACAAGCCTTAACCTTGAATCGTGAAGGGAAGTGGAAAAGAGGAAGGTCGAAGAACACATTACATCGGGAAATAAATGCAGACATGAAAAGGATAAATAACAACTGGAAAGGACCAGAAAGAATTGCCCAGGACAAGGTTGAATGGAGTGTGCCGGTGGGTGTTCTATGCTGAAATTGCAATATCACTGGGTTTTTTTTGGGGGGGGGGTTACTAATACACGTTATTGATTGGTTCTTATACACAAACTACACTATGCTTATCAACTTAATTCTTCTTTTCAACTAGTGTGTTAATCGTGTTCTAGGTCAAAACTAAACGGATTGGTACATTTTGTCGATTGGTGTCTTAATACTGTTTAGATGTGTAACCCTGAGAGATTTACATGTAAACATTATATTTGATAGTGAGATTTTATGATGATGATAATAATGGATCCATTCAACATATCTATTTGCACCGTCTGAAATTAGCTTCTTGTTGTAATTGTTTTTTCATTTGTTCTAATATTCTTTTTTTTTATATTTAATATGTGCCATAATCATTTGATTGACATATTCTTTGAAGGATTATGTTTGATTAACTACAAGATTTTTATTGTAACAATTGATGATATATGCACTATATCATGAAGTGATTTAAGTTGAAAATCTCATAAACTGAATTTCAATTTAGTTGTTTAAAGTTTAAAGTTTCACTAAAGAAACTGAAAGTTCCAAGTTCAATGCCTGGAAGTTAATACAATAGATTTAGTTTTGACATAGAACATGATTAATAGCCTATTTGAGAAGAGGAAATAAGTTTAATATGAAAGTAATCAGAAGTGGAAAGTACAGAAGATACTTCAAGTAATGTGGGTAACATAAAGAATACAAAAATAATATTAGAATTGGATAATAGTAATTAGTTGAATCATAGATGCCCGTTTTGTTCAATTTAAAACTCGTCAGCTATATGTTCATGAATCTAACTGCTAACTATTAACCAGTTGTAATAAATAATTGTAACTAAACGGTAATGTCGAGGTAGTTCACTCGGGATGTACATGTTTCAGTCTTTTACATCAAAATGTCCAAATGCAAAACCTTAAAAACAAAATAGCGTTAATAATAATAATAATAATAATAATAATAATAATAATAATAATAATAATAATGGATGAAAGCCAAATTAAAGACAATTATTCTTCACGTTACGTAGAATGACTAAGTCAACAATGTCGAATGTGATAGTTGGGAAATATGTTACGTATGCCTCATTGACGTTTGGTGTAAGATACATTGGTAGATGCAAACTGTCTGTCTGGTTTTCAGTTGGTAACTTCGATCAATAGTTGAAGTCTTTGAATAATATGGTTCAGAATCGTGCACATATACATTCACTCTTCATTTTACTTACAATCCGAAACTCCAGTATTTTTATACAGATCTTTTCACCACCACTTTACACCATATTCTCATGGTTTAGTCATTCTTTTTTATTATTGCTACTATATTATTTCAACTTTCTTTGTTGTTTTCATCTAATGTTGTTAATCAGTTGCGGTTTTCCACAGTTATGTAGAAAAAATCATTTGTAAGTCAGTCAGTAACAACGTAGAACTTCGTACGTACATCAGTTCAAGTTGCCAAACCACATTAGCACAGAGATGCAGCTGTCGACTCAAATCCCGTAGTTGCAGAGGTAGTAAGAGTATAAGCAGTAATAGGAAACATTAGGGTTTGAAGATATTCCTCAAGGAGTATAATCCAGTAAAATAAATTTGGAAAGGGAGAAAGAAAAGGGATATGGAGAATTCAGAAGATTGGGATTTAGGAAAACACAATAAGTGGATGCACCTCCGCTATTGCAAACGATTTTGAGCCATGTCATTCAAGGTCTATAACCATTGATTGCTATCATCTCGCGGATCCCAATCAGGTAGTTTACACCTACCAACATGACTCAGTCCACTTGTCATTGACTTCATGGACTTGTGCCTTGTTTTGGTCTGTCCGCCGCTAACTTTCTTCCAACCTACATTATTCGACACCATAAAACATCGCACGTCAGGGCAGTCGGTGGTTGGGCATACATAATACATGTCCCAAGCTATCCTAACCTAAAATCTGTATACAAATGTTCTATACAGTATAATTGTCTTTAATTTGGCTTTCATCCATTATTATTATTATTATTATTATTATTATTATTATTATTATTATTATTATTATTATTATTAACGCTATTTTGTTTTTAAGGTTTTGCATTTGGACATTTTGATGTAAAAGACTGAAACATGTACATCCCGAGTGAACTACCTCGACATTACCGTTTAGTTACAATTATTTATTACAACTGGTTAATAGTTAGCAGTTAGATTCATGAACATATAGCTGACGAGTTTTAAATTGAACAAAACGGGCATCTATGATTCAACTAATTACTATTATCCCATTCCAATATTATTTTTGTATTCTTTATGTTTATTTCTTTCAGTATTGGAAATATGAAATGTTACCCACATTACTTGAAGTATCTTCTGTACTTTCCACTTCTAATTACTTTCATTATTAAACTCATTAATTAGTTCATATTTAATTGATAGAATAAAGTATAATAATAATGATCATTTTAATTAGTATCACTTTAGTTACAAATTTCACTTAATCTTTACTTATCCTATAGAGTGACTTTGTTATTATTTACGTTATATATTACATAACATTATGTATACATATTGTTTAAAGTTACTAATGGGAACATCTGTTTAACATCTCATCTATGTATACGATTTCATAAGAGATACATTGAAAATGATTCTCTTTTTGTTGAATGGAGTTTAGTAATCACTAATGACATGAAAGAATCAAATGGGTGTTGGTGGTGGTGGTGGTGGTGGGGAGGGGGTATATCCATAAACAGAATCATTAAAATGTACATTTTAATTTTTTTTGTTTTTTAAAAACACACATCAATCCTGTTCACTTGGTATAAAATAAAAACCAGAAAAATGGTAACTATAATTAGTAAGTGGTAAACTGATTATGATAAGCGAATATAATGCACAAGTTAAATGTGGCTCAACAACAAGGATAACTATGTAAACAAATATGTATATATATAATCTTTGACTAACCTGTCACGTGGTTTCTGTCTATCTTCCAACACTTGTGGATCTATATAGAAAGAAATAAGTAAGTTTACAAATTATTTATCAATATTCACAATGTTTTAAAATTGTTGTTTATTTGTTTATCTACTACTTAATCTTTTACGGCTATTCACTAATGTAAACTGACACCATGAATTTACTTTAGGTAAACAATCATTATAAACTAGAAAGTAGTGGATAGTTGTTTCACCCTAGTATGGGATTTCTCAACGGTGGACTTTTCTGATACCCCATTATTATTTATTATTATTTATTTCAACACATAAATATTGGGACAAGAGGGCACCAAATACATATGCGCCACACCATACTTGTGTGTGTGTGTGGGCTGTGATACTGCCCGGGTGCCCAGACCGAAGCAGGTGGTTTTCTTAGGGGGCCAAACCCCGAGCCTTTGACCTAAAGGTCTGATCCACAAGGTGGTGGAGCATCGTGAGGAGATGCATTCCCATGGTAGCCGGTGACCAACGATTGGTTCATACGCCATTCGTTCACTCAGGATACTGGAGCCCATGAGATCCGGTTAAAGCGCCGGACATTCGCTTTTCGTCCTCTCATTTTCGTAAACAACACCCTATTAGAGAATGGACCATGTACCATTAAGCCTTGTGATAATAGTCTAACCGATTAAGAAACTAAGTTAATCAACAAAAGTTTGGTATCTATCAACGCAGACAATTCAAGCGAATAAATGTGATTATACATTAGAAAATGAAACAATTTTTATTCTTGTTTAAACAGAAGGATATTTACTGACATTTTGATATGTTATTAATGATGGCCTAGTTTTTATGATGAATAATGCATTTTGATCATTTTGTTTATTAGTTCAGCATTAAATGAGTAGAACATTCGAATTGAATGGTTTGAATATTCAAAAGGTAAGTGGTTTACTATTAAATAGTCAGATTGATTATCATAATTTGATCATAAATAATTTCGAGCTAATCCAACTCAATTGAAGATCATAATTTTAGATTTGAATATTTGTGAGTTTAAGTGTTTTTTATATTATGCCCTGATTCTTTATTGGCTTCTCTTTGTTTTCTACTTAGTAGAATATTATTTTCTAAAGATATAGATTGAAAATCTAAATAACAGCATATGTTCGAATGTAATAAAACATTACTGAAAACTGTCATCTGTTTTTGCAATCTCAAGTGGTGTCCGTCAAGGCTGTCTACTTTCTCCATTTTTGTTGAACTTCATCAAAGACATACTGATGGAAATAATGCTCTTGTCGACTGAATTCTCGTGGATTGATCTCCTACCAGGAGGTCCACTTATCGACTTACAATACGCAAATGATATAGTCCTGTTTGGTGAAGACGCTGATAAAATGCTGAGTCTTTTGGCAGCACTAAGCAACAATGCTAGAATGTTTGGAATGCGCTTCTCCCACTCTAAATGCAAGTTACTGCATCAGGACTGGCCTGTGTCAACACATCAACTAAAGATAGGGCTTGAAGTAGTCGAACGCGTTGACAACTTCACTTATCTTGGAAGTCTGATCAGCTTTAATGTGTTGGTGTCTGACGAAATCTCAGCATGGATTCAAAAATCTTATTTGGCTTTTGCGAAATTATGTCACCTATTATGAAGGAGAAATATCCGTCTATCAATTAAAGGATGACTATACTGCGCAGAAGTTCGTTCTGTTCTTCTTTATGGGTGCGAAACGTGATCGATGAGAGTAGAGCATACTTGTAATTTACTAGTATTTGACCATAGATGTCTTAGAAATATTGCTCCCATCTGCTGGGATCACTGGGTAAGTGAAAATGAGGTTAGATATATGGGTATTGGGGGATGACGGTAAATCATTTGATGAGGTTGTGAATCTTCATCGACTGAGATGGTTGGGCCACGTGTTGCGTGTGCCTGAACACCGATTACCAATATACGCAATGCTAACTAGTGTTGGGGATGGTTGGAAGAAAGTTAGGGGTGGCCAAACCAAAACGTGGCATCAGTGCTTGAAGTCACTAACTTTTAGTCTGAGCCATGTTGGTAGATGCAGACTACTTGGTTGGGTTCCACGTGCCTATCGTAACCAATGGTTGGAGACTATATGTGGCATGGTTCAGAATCGATCACAACGGCGTAGGTGTATACACTCTTTGTCTTCCCTGAAACTAAGAGATTAAAATTGCTTCATATCTTTATTTCTACGAACTAATTCTTTCTCCTTGTACTGTGTCCTTATATGCAATCTTTCTTTTATATATTACAACATTCAGTTAACTGCTTCTATGAATCCGGTGTTCGTCTTGCTGTGTTAATGAAGTATGGCAACTCGGACTGATGTATATGTATGTGCCTGATCTCACGTTGTATCTGACTGACTGAAGTACCTTTTTCATCTAATTCAATATTAATTAAGAATTAATAATTTTCTACATTTCCAAACCGTGTACAAGGTAACATTCCATAATCTGTGTTACATTTTAGTCCTGTTCGTGATGGAATAGTTTCCATCACTTTTATTTTTCTCCTATCTGATTAGATCTGAATAGATTGAACTCGTTTCAAATTTTGAAATTCGACCAGGTACTTATCATATTCTCAGATATTCAGTACTTGAAATGTAACATGTTTTGCTGCCGTACTATAACTTTATTTAAGAGTGAAATGATTGTTGATTGTGAATAAAATTTAGACTTATTCAGGGGTGAAAACAAGCTAACTGGTATTTTCTTGTGCATTATTGTTATATTTATTTATCATTATCTATTAACTTTAATGATAATCTTACTCGCTATAGATACAGTTGAACTAAATCCATCATGACTTTTTATTAAATGTGTAGGAACGTTTTTTGAATATGTGGAAGTATGTAGGCCTAAAGTTCAGTGAAATATATACTGATATCTAATTCTTACAAAATGATTTTTTGTGGAGATTGCAGTATTTTCAGGGTTGAATTCACGAGCGTACCTAAGCTAGAACACCATTCAAATCCTTGAAGTGATGGACGGCCGTTTCGTTCTAGTATAAAACTCCTCAACAGTGTGCATCCACAACTCTGCACGTGAGACTCGAACTCAGGACCTACGGCCTCGCTTAACCTTTAGATCACTGGACCGTTATCCACCTGTGTTAATGACTAGCTTCAATCTATCCATAATCTTGCGCAAACGGTCGTTCAATACTTCCATTTTTTTAATGGTGATGTAGTTTAGATTAACTAATGAATTCAACTTTTGAAATGGTTTTTATTATCGTATTAATTCAATTTGTCATATTAGTGACAGTATTCAATAATAAATAAGATATTAAATAGTTAAAGTTGCTGATATAAAAACAAAATATATCTGTCTAACCTTGAGCACCAGCCATTAGACACTTTAATCCAGTCACCCAAATATTTGCTTCTTCTGGACCAGAAGCTAAAATTTCTAATACAGTAAAATCCGGTCCATAGCATATTGTAAATGCACTAGAACTAAGATTAAGTATTGTTGAATTTAACGATGTTGAACTTTGAATTTGTGGTGACATTGAACCAATAGTTAGAGAATTTGAATTGTTTGATGAATACATTTTTGATGCTGATTGAATAAGGCTACCTGATCCACTTGAAGATAAGAACCCATGTGATAATGTTGGAGTCATACTAAGTGGACGTCGTCGACCGAGGGAATGTGTAGTTCTTGAGGAACAGCCTAGTTGTACTTCATGAATTTCTTCAATATCAACTATTAAAAGAAAAGTAAACAGAGATAAGAAGTTTTACACATAAATGTCTGGATGATGTACATATCCTCTCAATTATCCAATTCCTGGTCAATGTGAATAATTATCTGGGTTTTAGATTAAAACTGATAAATGCATTATCTATTATAAAAATATATACTTGCCATGTTCAACCATTAAGTTAGGCATTGTTAGGAATTCACTTGATATTGTTTTTACTTGAATTTTCCCATTGATGTTTTTTTGGACTGAAATTGATCAGTCTCTTATTGGCATATGTGCATACTGTGCGTACGCCTCGATATTGCCTAAATTTACAAGCATTATAAGCTAGCCACTATCCATCTTTGCTTATTGTTAGGAATGTTTTAAACCCGGAAAATATTATAATACGACAACATGGAAACAATCCTAACAGTTTAAGCATATCGATCAATTAACGAAGTTCAGTTTCTAAGTTTCAACAAAATCAATACGTTGAAGGCAAATTAAAACAATATCCAACTAAAGCTGATGAAATTAACGGTACTGTTGATGCATTTTTTTACTTAAATGATAAACTGATGGATGATTAGAAAGAAAGAAAAAAACACCAATCATTAGCTTGTTTTCACCCCTGAATAAGTCTAAATTTTATTCACAATCAACAATCATTTCACTCTTAAATAAAGTTATAGTACGGCAGCAAAACATGTTACATTTCAAGTACTGAATATCTAAGAATATGATAAGTAACTGGTCGAATTTCAAAATTTGAAACGAGTTCAATCTATTCAGATCTAATCAGATAGGAGAAAAATAAAAGTGATGGAAACTATTCCATCACGAACAGGACTAAAATGTAACACATATTATGGAATGTTACCTTGTACACTGTTTGGAAATGTAGAAAATTATTAATTCTTAATTAATATTGAATTAGATGAAAAAGGTACTTCAGTCAGTCAGATACAACGTGAGATCAGGCACATACATATACATCAGTCCGAGTTGCCATACTTCATTAACACAGCAAGACGAACACCGGATTCATAGAAGCAGTTAACTGAATGTTGTAATATATAAAAGAAAGATTGCATATAAGGACACAGTACAAGGAGAAAGAATTAGAAAGAAAAGTATGAAGTAATGATAACTGATCAAACTATATCAAATACAACTTGTGGAAAATAATTGAGAAAGCTTTTTAAATTCAATTTTAATGCTTTTCATCAATGTGTATAAATAAACTGATATGTAAATGTAAATTGTATTTGCTATGGATTGATTTCAGTTAAGAGTTATTTTGAAAACCGGAGAGAATCGAACAGCTATTTTGTCATAGTATGGGAATCCTAAGCACTGTATACCTCGTCAGGTACAAAAACTAGGAACTCCACGTTCTTATTGAATGGACAACCACGAGGACTGTATCGGATTCTTATGATACACTGATGACAATTGTTTCACACCAACGATGAATAGTCACTAGAACTTCAAGAACATCGTAAAGTCACTGATGACCTAACTATAATAGTTTGATTGAAGGGTTTTCTAGAAATAAATTTCATTTGTAAGGTACATTCATCAATGGAAGATATTGGTTGATTGATTTGAGAGTTGTTCAATCATCGAAAATGGTTTTTAATACTAAAATCACTTAACAAAACCATTGAAAATCAAGAATTATTATCATCTGCTGTAAAAGTTTCAAAGGAATAAAGAACAACTTTGCAGTACTGTTAACCTCTTAACCAATTATTACTGAAAATGTCAATTCATAACAAAAAAGGCATCATAGGTCGTACTACAGTTTGTTATTTAACTAAGCTACAGCCGAGCAGTTTTGAACATTTTATCGCTAAGGACAATTTATCAAATTTTCTTAACTACCCGACATCTTGGATAATCTTAATGCTAGAAAAATAACACTGCATTTATGAGTTTATTGATTTCAGACGTTACTATAGTTGGATTCCAGCTCAGTAATCTAGAGGTTAAGTATTCATTCTCGAGACCATAGATCATTAGTTTAATTCAGGATCGTGAATGCATGTTGCAAAAAGTTCCGTCTGTTGCTTCTACATTTTCGATGGTTGTCTCACTTACATTGTTTTGCGATTTCAGCATTATTCATTATTCTTCACAAGCCTATGTTTACAATTATGTTTCGGTTCTAAGTCTACCAATCAGTTTCATTAGAGGAAATATCTTAACACGGTGACATGGGAATGATTGAAAACTATTGCTTAAAATTTTATTGTCAAGACACGTTAGACCTTCGTCTTAGATACTAAAATAAACTTTTGTAAGGTTGAAGTATAGATTTTTCAGGTCAAGCTTATTTTTGAAGCTGTACAATTATAGATATATAGTGATTGGTCCTATGTTGAGCCCACATAGTTTATTCTAGCTTCTAGATAAACCAATATATCCATTCTTCTCAAGCTACATCTTGATCCCTGTTAATTAATCGCTTATCAACCTTGACGGCTTTTATATAAGCGTATGTGTGTTCATTTTCTATCTTACTTATCACATGTCTTTAACTATAAATATCGAATCACAACGCTTGCTTAAATCAAGATGGCTTATATGCTATCTCCACCACTCATCATTTCACTTCTCCGATCTTTTGTCTGCATCAACGTTTGTAAGAAATATACCTATTCGAAATTCATTCTCGTACTTGACTTATTTAATTCCATTATTCACCAACGTGATTCAAGTCGATAATAATATAAGAGGATTAGCGACATTTTATTTCAATAACATTCAGAAACGATCTAACTGCAATCAGATATAGAGTCACGAAATTGATTAGCCCGCCGCCGACGAACCTAACGCATCAAACTATGTTGATGACAAACCTTACGCACTCTATATTTTCAATGAACTCAACGAAGTCAGTTCAAAGTCGATATACAACTCAGTTTTTGACCATACGATCAAATTGGATAGAGACTACTACACCACTAAAAGAATAGCAAATAACCATATGTTTAATAGAATTCAGGTTAGTTGTTACATGAAATTCAACTACATAATCTTTAATAAATAAATAATTGTAGATAAAGGAAATTTGTATAACATAAGAAACATATAATTAACATGGTGAACAGAGTAAACATGATTATCTTTAAGTGGGAATGAAGATATTTGTATGATAATCAAGTAATATGGGTACAAACAATCTTTGTAATAATAATAATGATAGAATAAATAAGAACTATTTCGGTAGGAGTAATATATAAAAAGAAAAATGATGAATACAACTATAAACTGAGGTCATAACAAAAAGAGGGATCTAACAAATGGTTTGGGTATATATAACTTAGATCATAAAATTATCAAAGGTTAAAGTATCTGTGATAGATACCACAGAATTAATTTTAATGATGAATATCATATATTTATGTAAGGTATTAAAAGACAGACGATTAATTATAAACTGTTCATTATCAAACTCCGCCTGGATCCATCCGAGGGCTACTGCCGGTCCCAAGCCCGGATAAAGGAGGAGGGTTGGGCATGGGGGTTAGCGACCCCATCTCGTAGAAAATTAACTCGCTAAAAAAACGCTTACCAGAACAAATTATTCAAACCTTTTAAACCCTACCCTGTTCATTATCAATCTAAACTTATAAATCTTCTGACTGAGCGCTTGAATCAGTTTCCTATGCTCTTCTAGTAATTCCAGACTAAATCTACGCGACAACTTGAATATGAGTGAAGAGGTACAAAATATGGAAAGAACGCTTTACTACAAGGTTATTTTATTTACAGAAAATCGAGAGTATTTATAACATTCCCGATATCCTCAACTTTCTGAAAAGTTCTAGGACCCTATTAAACATAGTAGCAAGATCGGTGATCATTAAATCAGAAATGTGATGCGTAACTCTTCACTTTCTAAATGTTTCTGATATACTTTTATTGAATATTGATTAGATAAAATGCTTCTCAGTGCTTTCAGGGCCCCTTTAGGCTTTATTCTATAAATACTCTGAGTTTCCTTAACATAAACAATTTTATTTTATAGTTGATACTGAGTATGATATTCCATAGAACAGTGAGAACAAGCTTTCAAATCAGCCTTCAGCAAATATTTATTCAACTACTTACACAACCGGGTCAGTTGTGAGATAGTAACTCACTGATGACAATGGTGAATGTGTCGCTAAATTTCGTGGATTACTTGAAGTTAAACATTTATAACGTTGGATGCCGATTCAGTGGTCTAGTGGTTAAGCGCTCGTGCGTGAGACTGATAGGTCCTGAGTTCGAATCCCGTGAAGCAGGGTTGTAGATGCGCACTTCTGAGGAGTCCCACAATAGGACGAAACGGTCATCCAGTGCTTCCAGGTTTCCCATGATGATCTAGTTTCAACTAACTCATGATTTCAACTACTGAAATAGATATGCGCAACACAATAACAATCAGATCAGTAGCACATATCATTGACTTGTGTGATATTGCCCAGATACTCAAACTGAAGCATGATTTCTATTCAACCAATCAATTATTTGTATAAATCATTGAATATTAAATAAATTATTAATGACTTGACTAATTATAACAAAATAAGATATTAAGACATATTATAACACATATCATTAGTTCATTCATTCATTATTGTTATGTTCAATTTGTATGAAAGGATTTTAAACAATACAGTCATACATACGATTGTATGATTGAAAAACTATTCAATTTATTGTATGTTAAAATTGTATTATTTTTTTCCGGTTAGCGTTGTTTTAGCGAGTTAGTTTACTACAGGATAGGGTCGATAACCCCATGCTTAACCCTCCTCCTTTATCTGGGCTTGGGACCGGCAGTAGCCCCAGAGGGGCTCCAGGTGGAATTCATCACTCTACAACGACTTAATTGACTACGAGAAAGCATTTAGTAGCATGGTCAGGACAACACTATGGAGGCTTCTTCGATACTACGGCGTGCCTCAGAAGATAGTCAATATCATATAGAATTCCTATGATGGATTAAACTGTAAAATCGTGCATGGAGGACAGCTGACAGACTCGTTCGAGGTAAAGTCCGGTGTCGGACAAGGTTGCGCACTCTCACCCTTTCTCTTTCTCCTAGTGATAGACTGGATCATGAAGACGTCAACATCTGGAGGAAAGTACAGTGGACACCTAGGATGCAGATAGGACATACATTAAGGAAAGCACCCAACTGCGTCACAAGACAAGCCCCTACATGGAATCCTTAAGGCTAAAGGAGAAGAGGAAGACCAAAGAACACATTACTCCGAGAAACGGAGACACACATGAGAAGAATGAACAACGGTTGGATTGAACTACAAAAGAAGGCCCAGGACAGAGTGTGTTGAATACGGTAGGATAATTAATAATAAAAAGTAGTAAAAAATAATTAGTTTATCACATGTACTGAATTATTTCTTTTTAAATTCATTAGTATATTGCATTAAAAAAAACTGATTTAATCTTCTTATTAATGTTATATTAACGATTTGATATCAGTTGACGAATTATTGAAAGCTCTTAGAATTATTGGTAAACATCTGATTTATCTTGATTAAAAATTTCATGGATTGATTGAGGTTAGACGTTAACACTGTTGGATAGAGGCTCAGTGATCTACAAGTTAAGCGTTTGAGTGCAAGACCGAAGGTCCTGAGTTCGAATTATGTGTGCGGGATCGTAGATATCCACTTCTGAAGACGAAACGGCCATCCGGTGTTTCAAGGTTTTCAATGGTGGCCTAGCTTAGATTGACTCATGAATTCAACTGCTAAAAAATTCTCAATAACAGTGAATACATTCATGCCTTCAGTTGTATATTCATTATTTTGCAAATTTAGTTTCAAATAGTTTGTGGGTCAATGTGATATTCTTAGTCACTTTCATGGAATTGATTGCCCAGTATTTGAGTCGAAGCGAAACATTATGTAATTAGGCAATATATATGGCTTAAGAAACAAATGAAAAGAATTCGCTGCAAATAAACCAATCTAATAACTATTAATCCAAATGATCACGAAATGTCTGACATGAATTAAACAGACCAATTTCATTCTTTAACGGAACGCTTTCGTTCTTGTTCTGAGACCTAAAGAGCATCTGTTTAACGTTGACTAACTTTTAATTAAATGAAATACAAAAGTGAATATATGGGTAAAACATTGTTCACAGTATAAACTGTAATTCTAAACCCTATAAGATTCACTTATCAGTATGATGTATAAATTAAATTTCAGTAGTTGAGATCATGAGTTAGTTGAAACTAGACCACCATGGGAAACCTGGAAGCGCTGGATGGCCGTTTCGTCCTATTGTGGGACACCTCAGAAGTGCGCATCCATGATACCGCCACGCGAGATTCGAAATCAGGACCTATCAGTCTCGCGCGTGAACGCCTAACCACTAGACCACTGAGCCGGCATCCAGTGGTGTTAATGTTTGGCTTCAACTAATCCACAAAGTTGAGCCACCGTTCACCATTGTCATCAGTGAGTTACTATCTGACAACAGAATTGGTTGAACTTCACAGATCAATTGACTCATGAATTCAACTGTTAAAATTATTATAATATTCACAAAAACTCGTTTCTGATTATAAGTTTTTATTGTATGATTTTCTAATGTGATTTCAGATAGAATAGTTTGAGTAAGTATTCCTTTAATGCACTAATTAGCTATAATTCATATTTTATAAATTGAATTAATTTTAACTTTTTAACTCAAATCGACCTGAACATATATTCACTTGGGATACATATAGGTTAATAAGGAACAGATCGATTAACATTTAGAATATCAGCAAAGGAAAAGTTGGAGACATGATTAATTACAAGTCATTAAGATACTCACAGTAAAGTAAAAATAGTTCGTCAATTATTTATCATACAAACTCCGCCTGGAGTTCCCTCCGGAGGCTACTACCGGTCCCAAGCCCGGATAATGGAGGAGTGTTGGGCATGGGGTTAGCGACTCTATCCCGTAAAAAACTAACTCGCTAGAAAAACGCTAACCAGAAAAAATTATTCAAACCTATTTATCATTTATTTATTTAAACACATAAACATTGGTACAGGGAGGCACCAAATAGATATATGCCACATAAATCATTCGATTTGTGTGAGGGCTGGGATACTGCCCGGGTGCCCAGACCGAAGCAGGTACCTATTTATCATACATAAGTTTGATAGTTGAATTTTGATTGAAGTCTAATAAATGTACCTTGTTAAACATGAACAAGAAAATCAATGCTTAAATAAATCTACTATCAGTATAGGGATATGTGGAGATTGCAGTATTTTATGATTGAATTCACGAGTCCATGTTGTTATTTGATGACATAGGCAGTGGACCTTTATCCCAACTTGCTCATCAATACTGAGATGTAAGGATACTTTTCTGAAAAGTTCCCAATAGAATGAAACAGACTTGTAGAATTCAAATGTCAGAAGGTTAGTTCAAAGTAATCCGCTCCCTATGTCAATATGTGCCAAAAGACTGATCAGTTTCAACTCTAAATATAAACAACAAATCTTTAGGATCCTGCATTAACAGGTCTATAAGTCTGATTGAGTGATAATTATATGGTCATTAGTAGTAAATCTATGAGATATATATTTCTATATGAGGACAAGAAATCAGGACCATTGAAGTTAGTCAAGATGAGAATAACACATTAAATCATAAAATACATTTGGTTGAAAATCATGCTAAAAATGTTTAAAGGTAGAATTTGTCTTAGAAATCTAAACTAACCTTTATCAACACATAAGTTAGAGGACACAAGATCAATTCTATTTCAGGTTTCAAACTAAAAACGAATGACCTGTTTTAACTTTATTTATTTTAATAGTGAATGAAGATTTTTGAAGAAAAAAAACTACATTCATATCAAGCTAACAATTCTATCCAGTGCTTCCAGGTTTCCCATGATGATCTAGTTTCAACTAACTCATGATCTCAACTACTGAAATTAAATTTATAAATTTATGATCAAATGTAATGTTGAGGAGATCCGAAAAACCAAACTCGAAAGAACCACGAAGGGTCAATGACAACACTGGGAAACATTCTATCCAGTCAGCATTTAATAGAAATATCTCAGAAACATCTAGGAAGTGAAGAGTCAAGTGTCACTTTTCTAGTTGGATGATCACCTATCCTGATACTGTGTGTCTAGTAGGGTTCCAGAACCTCTCAGAAGCCTAAGACCATTTGAAATGTTATAGGTTCTCTCGATTTTGTGTACATGAACTAACTTTGTAGTAAAGCGTCCTTTTCATATTTTGTACCTTTTCTCTCATACTCAAGTTGTCGTGTAGATTTAGTCTAGGATTACTAGAAGAGCTTAGGAAACTGATTCAAGTGCTCAGTCAGATTTGTCATCTAGTTTCAATATTTTTATTTTATTTAAATGAAATTGAAACAGTCTTAAATACTTTATGAATGGCAATCTATGAATGTTTATCTTTTTTAAACAAGTTAATTATATTGTAGTGATTGGTACTGTGTCACCTTCTGGACAGACCGATTTATTCATTCTTTTCAAGTCACACTTTGACCTTGTCATTTGTTCCCTTATTAATGAGCGTATATGTGTGCATTGTATATCTTACTCATCATATCTCTAGCTTATTTTTTTTATGGCTATAAATATTGGGTTTCAATTGATCAAAACGAGTTCGCTAACACGCCTTCTCTGTATTCGCTTTCCCACTTCTCATTCTCAATGTCTGTCTGGATAAACTAGTACTTGAAATAAATTCCTTCAACTCAACTCGTATTTGGTTTCTTATTACTACCGTTTCATAAACAGGATTAGCTTAGATATAAGATACGGAATGTTTGTACGATCAAACTGAAATCAAATAGCCGGTTATAATGATCATAAAATAACAATATTGAAATTAGCTTTAAATTAAAAATCTACCTACTTTGTGAATTTGATTGACGTTTATTTGTTGAAGACCATTTAATGCAATTCATTTGTTCATTTAAATAAAACATACGTTTATACTGACGTCCACTAGTATGAAGTTTAATCATTTCACTACCTTTACGCATATAAGCAAAACAATCGGATGCTATAGAATAGAATTAAGAAATAATTAAATAAGATGATCTAAACCAAATTGTAAATGGGAGTTTCACATTGAACATATAAAAACAAAAATGTAAGTTTGATATGATTATCATGTACTATGCAGTGTGATATTATTTAACTAAGTCTGTTTTTGACCACATAGTTACAGTTGAGTTATTGTTCTGTAAAACAAAAGTAAATAAGTCAGTTAACAGTTTTTCAGTAATGTGAAGTGTCAGTTACTAAGTTAAGCCCATATAACTTATTCTAGCTTCTGAACAGGCCCTCAAATGCCCTGATACGGCTCAGAGTGGGGAGAGTCAGCTCACCTTCTCGAAATGCTCTCATATGGCCACGTGCATGCAACAACTGATAGGGATGCCCTACTAACTGCCTTCCCGCAGCATTACTGTTTTTTGCGAAATTGAGAGGACGAGAAACGAATGTCTGGCGCTTTAACAGGGTTGGTGGACACAGAGAGTCCACCAAGGGAAGTTGGAAAACCCTCATTCCAAACCACTGATGCACATGGGCTCCAGTATCCTGAAGGAACAAATGGCGTATGAACCAATCGTTAGTCACTGGCTACCATGCGACTGCATCTCCTGACGTTGCTCCACTGCCTTGTGGATTAGACCTCCGGGTCGAAGGCTCTGGGTGTGGTTCCCTAAGAAAACCACTTGCTTCGGTTTGAGCACCCAGGCAGTATCCAAGCCCTCACATAAATCGAATGATTTATGTGGCGTATATCTATTTGGTGCCTTCTTGTACCTATATTTATGTGTTTAAATAAATAAATAAATAAAAACAGGCCAGTTTATTCATTTTCCTTGAGCTACATTTTGAGCTTGTTAATTATTTGTTTGTCAACCTTGACTGTTTTCTATATGAGCATAAACGTATACACTTCTTATTCTATTCATCATATGTCTGTAACCTTTTTTATCTGGTTATAAATATTGATTAACGCTTGATTACATCAAGTTGGGTCACACGCCTTCGCCACGTGTTCTTTCGTTTCACTTTCTTCTGTTCGTTTCATCCGTCGGATTGTTTGTCCAAATCGTATTTGGTTTATTTAATTCCATTATTCACTAACAAGAGTTAAGTCAATAACTATATAAGAGGATAACCAAGATGTATATTTTGACAACAATCATTCATACAAATATAACTGGAGTCGGATCACGAGCGACTAAAAATGATATCACTCACTCTACGTCACTAAACCTGACATTATCACATTAATAAATTCCGAGTCATTTTCACCTATAGCACCATATTAACGATTAAGATTATCTCAGAGGATCAAAGATACAGAATGTGTATTACTTTGCAAAAATAGTCAATAACTTGGTGAATTGATACAACACCTTGACTTGACTACTTCTCATTTAATTTAAAAAAATTTGTATACTAAAAAAATTTGATATTTTATGGTAGGCACCAAATGAACCATAGTAGTATATGTACCAAATACTACAGTTAATTAATAATCATAAAATTAACATGGTACAGTTGAACGTAAGCAAAGATTTGAAGATATCATATAATTATTTAGAGAACCTATTAGTTGATACTTATGAATAGTGTACAGTTATCCCAATCATAGAAGCAAAAGAAAAGAATCATGGTTCACTAATGTATAAGTCAACAATATACTATGAATATTCTAAGAACACAACTATCTGATCATAACCCATAATTTTCTAAATCAGTTAATCGGAAACTTTAAAGCAAGACATGTCTATTAATATCAGTGGGGGTTTTTGTAGATATTATAGTAATTTCAACAGTTGAGATCATGAGTCAATTAAAGCTAGACCACCATGTTAAACCTGGAAGCACTGGACGGCCGTTTCGTCCTATTCTTGGACTCCTCAGAAGTGCGAATCCATGATCCCGCCTCGCGAGATCCGAACTCAGGACCCATCGGTGCCGCGCGTGTTTATATAATAATGATTTTTATAAGATTTTACAACAGCTTAATACAAAATGACTAATATTTATAAAAATTTCCTTTTCCATATTCATTCATTCATTCATTAAAACGGATCATACTAAATGTTATGAATAAAAGACTATGATAAAAACATTTCCTTCTGAACATAATCTTGTACTTAGCAACTGCTTATGTAGAAATGATAGAAAAAAAACAACTATATGCGATTCATTTATAGATATGTTTGACTTTTCCTTATTTAATCTACGATTTGCATAAAATACCAAGTTACAATTCATGTTCAAGCATTCATTAGTTATTAGTATACAGTGAGGTTTTGAACTTAGATTTTGTATTACATTCCATTTGTCAGCAAAGGAATTGGTGCTAGATATGCTATTGAAATGGATAAAATTAAATGTCGCCATCAGAGACGCTAACATAAAGCTCAATAGTTTATTTATTCAAGAACTATTTTACCTGAGATTAACAAAGTTATCAAATACTCTGATAATAGCTGAATAATATACCATTTATATACAATTGAATTTTATGAGTAATTATTTACCGTTTGTAATCAGAGATTATGGTACCTAGCAGTGGAATCCAAAACACGTGTTTCGCCCCATTTGGGATTCATCAGCTGGATGTATCTGTATCCCAAAGTTGATATTCACTTCGGGACTGGGTCCGATTCCTGGGGTGAACTCCGGGATGCAAGCACACCCAGCTGACGAGTCTCAAATAGGACGAAATGCACGTCTTGTATCCCACCGCTAACCATCATCATCTCTGCTTATAATGATTGTGACCTTAGGCAATATCGAGGCACTCCGCATAGGATGCACATATGTCTATAAGAGGCTAATCAATTACATCCCTAAGCATTAATGGGAATATTCAAACTGTGGTGCATGCTACTTATGTTGACAAATATAAGTAGTATGTAGCAGTAATCGGATGTAGAATACCTGTCAGCAGAAGATTGAATTGAAGAGAACAGGAAGGGGACAGAGAGCAATTGTAATAAAAACTGAAGTGAAAAAAAACATGAATCATGTAAGGACAACTGAGGGAAGATGCGCAAATAACGGATTTAATGTATGGTTTTCACATTTTACGAGGGCATTGTAATTTTACATTAAACAATAAATGGGTTAAACCTGACCATGCCTTTGTTCATTGTAAAACAACTAAGATTGAATGACTGAACTAACTGGTTAAATGACAGTTTTTTTAATCCTTCTTATTTCATATTATATATTGTTTCTCATATGTACGTATCAATACCAAGGTTGGACTTGATAGTTTTGTGGTGTATGCTACTTATGTCGACACAAGTAGTATATAACACTAGTCAGAAGTGGAATACCTGGCACCAGAAGGCTGACAAGGTCGAATCAAAGAGAACGGGAACAAAAAGTAATTGTTGTGAAACAGAGAGTAATCGTTGTGGCAATGAAATAACGATGAAGTTTGAAACAATTGATGAAGAAATTGCAGATGAAGTATTGAGTGCGTGGTTTTCACATTTTACTGAAGAACTCGGTAACTTTGTTTTACAATACATTTGGTTGTCCCCATATGTGTTCCCGTTCACTACAGTTTATCAAACAAAATAAACATTGGATAGGAAGTTCATGATAAATATATTTTTTTGTTATATCCTAATGAGTAGTTTAAACGGTTACTATTCGAACTTGTGCTAATTTAATTCTGTTATTTATTTACGTTGCAGAAATGGCTTACATTAAGTCACAAAATGTCAGAAACACAGTATTCTATTCACTGGGATATAACAAAAAATGTATTTATTATTGTGATATGTGGGCGAGAATGATTGGTTGTTCAATTAGGTAGGTACTAGATGAGTTATATTATATTCTCCTACCATTACTATTATTATGATTTTGTCAGTTTCTGGTGTGGAAGTATATTCATGTTCTAGTCAAGCTAGTCACGTGTTCTTGATCTGAACTATGTCGAAGTTCTGTAGGATGAATGGACACTGGAAGGAAATCTAATGTAAATATTCGTCTAAGGCGAATTAACGTTCCATTCGTGTAAATGGGGAAATTCGAGCATTATGACATATTGTTTCTCAAATGTTTACAACTAGGTTAGTTTAAATAAAAAGCAGTTAAGCCTCTTGATTACCTTCAAGAGATGATAATTACTATCTTCAGTACCATATATTCGATTGATATTAAAAAGAATTTACAATATTGTGACAAATTCCTATCTTATGTGCGAATATATAATATATAGTAAGAGAGATGTTTTTACGTATTCAGTTGTTGGTTATCTTTTGTTGACAAACGTTTTAGTTAATTCTGCCACTAAGATATTTTTTTCTTGATGAATTGTGTTAGATGTATGAATTTCAAAATAGATGGTTATAGTTTCTTCAAGGAATAAACTAAAAGCAATATATTATAACAATTAAGATTCTTTAGATTAAACACTGTGAAATTATGTATGCGTTTTGTGATAGTTATTCAAGTACATTTTACAGTTGTAGTAGATCAGTTCAGCGTTTCATTAAAATTCAACAACCTCCGAAACTCTATACTTACAATTATCATGTGCTCACTAGAGACTAGCTTTGATAGTGGCAACACCATGTCAGTAATGCAGAGGTTCGGCATCGTGTGTTCAGGCACAGAGATGATAATTCAATTGGTGTCACCATCTTGAAACACCGACTTCGGTGGCTTGGACATGTTCTACGAATGTCGTCCCAGAGAATTCCACGTCGTGCATTATTTGCCGACTCTGGGACTGGTTGGAAGAAGCGGAGAAGTGGTCAGTGCATGACATGGTGTCGTGGCATGAAAGAAAGCTGCAAAGGACTGACTTCTGTTGGTCCTTCACGACTCCCTGGTTGGGGTCTGAGAGATGGTGCTACACAGTGGCTAGAGACGTTATCACATATGGCTCAGAATAGAAGTCAATGACGATCCTGCTGTAACCTTCTTCTACTTTCTTCATAAAAAGTGGTTGTGTCTCCTTTACCTGAAAGATTTCTTCTGATTGTACCTTTTCGTTCCCTCGTTACT